ATACTGGAGAAAATATGTAGAACTACGAGACATCTACAGGTGTGTTTTAATTAGCCCCTTGGAAAGTGACACACTTGCCTAATTTTACGCTCGATACTCTGACACCTGTTGCTTAGTTATTGATACTTATTTGATCTTATTGATGCTTATATTATATATGTATAATATCATTCGATAAACAATATATCATAAAATTTCAATAATCATAAGATTCAATGAATAATATCATTAAGATAAAAATAATGAGGAAAAAACAATAATTTAAAAAAAAAATCAAAAAATTTGTTTATTTATTTTTTTTTTTTTAGAATTACAGATATATTTTTTTACTTACATTGATGTAAAGTTATTATTTTCTATTTCTATTTAATGAATGTATTAAAATGGCAAAAAAAAAATTTAATATTCTAATATAGATATAAAGCCAAACAAAAAATAATAATTTAATAATAAATGTATATAGATACAAGTAAATTCTGATAAAGAAATATAAAATGTAAAATCAAATACTAATTATAATTATGCATCGATAAAATACAAATAAAAAATAAATTTTATTTAATTCAATTTTCATCATTTTAAAAATAATTATAATTTTGATGTTTATAATATATATAAAAATTCTTTGAAAAATATATATCAATATATCGCTTGAAATAAATTCAAATTTAATAAAAATCAATATATTTTTAATAATTTTATTACAATTTATTACATTGCAATGTACTTTATTGATTTCTATTTATCTTAAAACGGTATCTCGAATATGTTATATCAAATATAATATTTATCAATAATCTCTAATTTCTGTATTAGCAGAATTCATGTAAAGCTGTTAACAGAATCCAATTTACACAATTTATATTCACGAAGATGAATAATCAACAACATGCTTTATCTCACAAAGGAGAATATCATATTTCTAGTAGTATGATTGCTTGAAACAAAAAAAACGTGTTAATTTTATCATTTCTTGCTGCGAATCGAATAATGAATAACAATATTTATAGAAGAGAAAGTTATTAGTGAAACTTGTTTGTAATTATCGGATAAATTTAAAATATTAAAAATTCGAAATTGAATAGTTATGATTATAAAAAGATCGGAAATGTTATAGCGAAAGCAATTGGAAATTTTCTTTAAAATTAATGTAAATAATCAATTGAAACGTTTTATATTTATTTATCTTAAATGATTAAAACTACCTAATAATATTTGCAAAAGTAACTCTTAATGTATTATAATCTTTTCGTATTAAATAATTCGAAATTTCTCGATAACAGAGTTTTCACATATACAGAAAGTTACAGAATATATTTTGAAATTTATATATTGAATAGAATTGTTGAAAAATTTACAAACAAACTATAACGTTGTTATTTATCTATAGATAATATAATATAGATAGTTAGAATTGATAGATAAATTTTATATTTCAAGTATCAAATGAAAGTACATTATTCTATATATTTATTTATTTCCTTAAATTCTGTCTAAACGCTTCATTTAAAAGTTAAAAATTGCAATTTGTCCACTGATGCTAAAATGTTTTTTAAATAATTATCTAATATCCTGTATAATTACATTTAAAAATCATCATGTGCATGACAATTATTATTTATTTATTTTTTTTTTTTTCATACTTTTAGTATATCCTCAAAAGCAACAATACGCTTATGCTGGTTATCCGGCACCGGCGGCGTATCCAGGACCTTATTATCACGGATCGCAGTATGGACCCTACAACTACTGAAGAAGATCTGTATCATCTCTATTAATGAAAAGAGTCTAGAGCGCGAAGTATTCTGAAACGTGCTCGTAATGAATAAAACATTAAATATCTGGCAAACGATGATTCCCGAAGGGAATGTTAAAAAAAAAGAAAAAAGAAAAAAATGAAACGAACAAAAAACGAGGACTCCTGGAGGTCGATCGTAAATCCCAAATCGTACCTGCACGAAGGAAGAAAAAGAAAAAGCAGAGAAGAAGGACGACCTTGGGTCCCACCCTAGATATAATTTATCACTTACTTTAAACGCCACGTTACGGACGTTCTGGTGCATATATACCCGTCTGGGTCCCACGATCTTCCATCTCTTTCAGTTTTCTCTTTCAGCAGGTGTCTGTTTTGGTATGTGATCGCTCGTATGGGATTCGCGAAAAAGACAGTTGCTCAAAAACAGTCCGCGTACTTAGAACTGAGATGATTATATATAATATTATTTTTTTCTTTCTAAAATCTAATATTTGTACTACATTATTCTTTGTACGTGCTGATCGCGCTAGGACAATAATAATGATAATAGTAATAATAATTACATTTTGAGCGTGGGAGAGATATATTTGATTATATATTTAATTGGCTATATGATCTTTCTCAGGGGAATGAGAAACGATTTATCGTTCGACATTTAATCATATAATTAATAACAATATCTCGATGTCGAATTTTTGAAAGTACTACATGACTTTAAAGGTTAACCGTCAATTCTTAAAGTGCCTTACTTTCAGTTATCTTTTTTTTTTTATTGTAAATTATATTTTTAAATAATCTATATTTGAATTTTAATAAAAAAATTTGTAAATTATTATAAACAGAATAATTATGAATAAAGAGAAATCGATAACTAAAAGTAAGAGTTAATAAATCGAGGAGAAAATATGTCAAATATTGAAATTTTTATTTATATTTTAAGAGAAATTTCAATCGTGGTTGTTGTAAAAAAAATTCGGCAATATGGTGCAAGAAAAATATTCGTTAATTATATACAGATCAATTTAAACGGTAGAAAATATAAAATAAGTGCATTTTCACAAATATCACATTTCATAATAAAATTCGCATCATCGATTCACTAGACTTTCTAACATATATATATAGATCTTTTTTTTCTCAATAACTATATGTAAAATTTGTTGTTCCGGTATCTTTACGTATGGTATTAAGAAATAATAAAAATATTCCAATTACTTTATATATATTTCTTTAAGTAAATAAATTAAATTAGATTTATTCCAAATACTATTTTTTACAATTGTTATAATTATAGTGTGAAACTTAGATAAATGAACTAAAAAAATAATAGTATAAGTATAACTGTTTGTTTATGTACATTCGGAATCGTTTATTGTTTCTAGAAACAAATACTATAAAGAGTTCTAACCCTTTATGAATAAAAGGTGCAACGTATCATTAAAAGTTGTTTAATATATTTGATACGTTATAAACGTGTGAATCATTTTCTTTTATTTACCTGTCAAATTCCTATTTAATCTTATTCTTCTTTATCTGAGAAACGACGATTTATAAAATTAAACCGGTCTCATTTTCATTTATTTTTTTCTATAAAATACAAATTTCAAAATATATTTGAACATATCAAATAAAGAGAATTTTAAAATTTTATTGAATTGGCACAATTAACCAATAAAAATTAAGAATTCTATTAGTCATGTGAGAGTTTCAAAATGGCGACGCGAATTTAACATCTACAATGGCTACTTCGCGGCATTCATTGTCAGTTCAGTATAACTTTGTAACGGTGTAAGAAGATGATGAACTTTGTTTCACAATTTTTTTTAATTTCTATCAGTATTTTAATAATCGATTCAAATATTGTAACACAAAAAAGTTTTCAAAATGAAAAGGTATGTAATAATCTGAATATTTTTATCATTTGTTCATTTTTATTTAATCCTTTCACTTTTGCTATTCATCTCTAAAAGACATCTTTTGCAATACATTTCATTGATTATCGTTAAAATACATCAGTTACAGTCATGAAATGATTCCAGTACAATCACAAGCCGACCGAGTTATCAAGGAATCAAATAATCAAATTGTCAAATCTGTCAAATGTTAGTCATTTAAATGAAATTTTAGATAACATATGCATTGTGAGAATTGTTGGAACACCAGAACATACAAAAGTAAAAAATGTAAGTTGAAATAATGTCAATAACAGAAATATTATGAAAACACAATATAATTCAGTAATATTTTTAAATTACATTTATAATATATAATAGAATTGATTTTAATTATGATTTTAGTAATTCTAATCTACTACAAAATTTATATATAACTATGATGTAATTCTAAAAAAAAACTATTTATTGATAAGATAAACTTTGTTTTTCTATAAAGTATATCAAGAAGTCATTGGAAGATCTTAATTGGACTGTGGAAATTGATAGTTTTAAAGATGATACTCCAATTTTTGGGTCTTTAGAATTCAAAAATGTAATTGCAAAGTTAAATCCCAACGCAAAAAGGTATTTGGCATTGGCTTGTCATTATGACTCAAAGTATACTAAAGAACAGAATTTTATTGGTGCTACAGATAGTGCAGTACCATGTGCTCAAATGATTAATTTAGCTAAAGTTATGAAGAATTATTTAGAGTCTATAAAAAATGTAAGTAAAATTTTATTAATAATATAATTTTTATTTAAATTTTTATAATCATTCTTTTTTGTTTTCAGAATGATATCAGTTTAATGTTTATATTTTTTGATGGTGAAGAAGCTTTTAAAGAATGGGGTCCAAAAGATTCTATTTATGGTGCAAAGCATTTAGCTAAAATTTGGCACAATAATTATACTATTTTTAAAGATGGAGAAAATATTTCTGAATTAGATAAATTAGTAAGTATTAGTAAACATGTAAAAATTTTTATAAATATTTATTTTCATTTTTTTTTATAGGATTTACTAGTTTTGTTAGATTTAATAGGTGCACCAGATCCAACATTTTATAATTACTTTAGCAATACAGAAAAATGGTATTCCATATTAATAAACGCTGAAACTAAATTAGCTTCTTTAAGAAAGTTTGAATCATACTCTTATGGACAGCCTACACAAACATACTTTCAACCATATTCTGTAGAAGCCTATATTGAGGATGATCATATTCCTTTTTTACATCGTGGTAAGTATTAATTTCTGTATATATATATTGTATATTGTATTTTTTTCTTATAAAATATTTGTTTCAGATACTCCTATTCTTCATTTGATACCATATCCTTTTCCAATTGTTTGGCATAAATCAAGTGATAATCGTAATAATATTGATTTAAAAACAACAGAAAATATAAATAAAATTCTAAGAATTTTTGTAGCTTCATATTTACATATTAATATATAATTGCTAATTAAGAAATTTTTATATTGTTATAAGACATTTATTTTTATTGTATAACAATATTATAAAATATTATAGAAAAATAATATAAAATTTAATAACATAAAATAATATAATAATATATATAATATAAATAATATAAAATTAAATAACATATATACGTAAAAATAATGATATTTTATGATAAACTTTGAACAAAAACTTGAAATTATTTTAAGATTAATTTATAAATTTTATAGTTTGAAAATTTATATGTTGCAATTTTATACTCTTTACATATGCCTTTTGTAAGATAAATTATTGTTAAACAAATTATTGTAAATTTAATATTACGTATTTATATGTATAAATTTACATGTATAAAAATAGAAAAAACTTATATGAAATTATATTATATTATATATGAAAAAGAATAAGAAATATTAATTTTTTACTATAAATAAAATATCTTTACTGAATTATGAGCGAGATAATTTCAATAAAAATATAAGTTTAATATGGAACGAATTATAATTGCAAATATTGCTTTAAATATGAATGTGAAAATGAAAACAAATATAGTATCGAGGAAATCAAACACGTGACTTCCGGATACATGTTTAGAATAAGAATTCAAATATATCTCTGATAAAATTTTATACATAATAGTACTATGTTTAATTTTTAATATTATATATATATTAAAAAATTTGACTTATTATGTCATTCGCAATATATCAAAATGTTATTTTACTTTTTTCTTAAAATGTAATCGACTTTAAAATTTAATTTTGATTAATTGATTTACATCGTAATAATTTATATAAAAAATATAAATTAATAACTTATCTTTTTTGAATAATGAATTATTATAAAAGTTTTAAAAAATAAAATATTGTTATAAAATATTTTCACGAACGTAACGGTCAATGATTGAATAAAGTGAAAGTGGGTATTCTATTGCGAGGTTTGGTAAGCCTGATCGAGGTCATTGTTCGTACGGGCGCGCCCGACTAGGCTTTCGTTCCAACTCCAGCCGAACGTAGACGATTTTGGCCGAGCATGGTCGAATGTAACCGAAACATATGATTGGTGGAAAGCCGACGCGACGGCAAAAGACATGTCGCACCGCTCGAGGAAGAGACAACGCCGACAGAGATGTTGAAGTTTATCAGAGGGAAGGGCCAACAACCTACGGCCGAGCGACAGAAACTACAAAAGGATCTTTTTGCCTTTCGAAAGGTAAGTCTTGATTAAAAGTTTCATCTATATCCGGCCGGCGAAATGTGCCGACACTTTCTTCTACTCGCCTGCTTCTATAAAACATTACAATAGTGTTCGCTTAGCTGCAACAGCTCCAGACTTTATAGTTCCAATTATTTGGAGAAATGTAGTGTAGAAATTTCTTTTTCCAGCTTACTCAAATCTCAATAATGTGGAAGTTAGAATGGAATACAACAATAAATTATTTAGTATATGCAATTCTTCATAAAAAAGATCCAGAAGCTGTTGCAGCTAAACGAGCACTACTCTATGTAGCCGAATACCTCATCGCCGATATGAACGTGAAGCCAGTTCTAAGAACTGGTGGGGATATGGATTTGCAATTAAGCGGGTAAAAATTGTTATAGTTAAGCGGTTACTATTGTATTTTTCTAGACGTCGAGATTGAATGAAATAGATTAGCTTCGCTTTTATGACAAAACAATATTACCATGGATAAATATCCATGTTATACATATTTAAATATCCATGTGCTGGAGTTTTCAATGAAAAGCGAATAATTTCGATGCATTGCATAGAAGCTATTTTGTATTTTTTTATTCAGAGGAAAGTGAGAGTATTTATACATTGAGATAAATTCATTTTTTCATTTTTATATTTAAAGTATAGCTCTTGAGGTTAAATCTGGTTCTTTCATTCGATTATTTCAGATTTTTGAAAGAACATTATAAATCATTTTTCTCATATATATATAAATTTTTAATATTTTAATTGAAAAAATACTAATCAAATCATTGAATTTGATAAACGTCAGAAGGTTAACCTTATCAGACAGCTATCGGTTTTTAAACCAAAGCGATCCTTCATTTCTTTCTGTTTTATTTACACGTTCATTGTTTATAAGTCAACAAGCTTGCAATTGAAAGTTTATTCTGTTACCATGTCAGATAGTAATCTCGTGTTTCGTGATATCACGATGTTGACACACGATACGTTTTACAGAATACAAGCTCTTTTTACGCGTAAGCTTCCCGATCGTTTTACAGATAAATCTTGTCTTTAAAAAAAAAGAAAAAGAAAAAAACGTAAAAAGATAGTGAATATCGCGACTCAAGGAGATTCATAAATATACCATGATATAATTCATATATAATAGATAAAAAAAAACTTGTTCCAAATTTATTTTCGATAAAAGAATATGAATGAATTCGACTTTAATTACTGGTTATCAAATTACACATAACATATAAAATTCTAAGATTTGCCATTTTCATAGGTTACTGACATTTATGAATAACAAATATAATAAATACTTTTTATAATATTAAACGAATATTTAAAAAAATTTTTTGTTTTTTTCGTTTTCGAGTCGATCTTGTTTAAATAAAATCGTCATTTTCTATTAATTTGAAAGAAGCGAAATATATTTAATCAACACAACGCTATCCAGACTACTTTTTAAGCTGCTTTCATACGATGGAATATTAAGATTCTAAAATTGCCTTCATCCAAGAACATGATACAGCGTATTTTAAGAATGAACAGTGCGGAATCAACAGGTCGATACCCGAACGTAATCGATACCGAAAGTCTAGAAGACGACCAGTGGCCGAGACACGGTGCAAGAGAGTCAGGATTATTGTGGTCGTGTATGGTGTGTGTGGTGCGTTTCTTTAGCGGTTCTGTCTCGGTTGGCTGTCATCGTCGCCAGCCATCGGGTGCACTGTCGCGAAACCTTATCGCGGTTTAATTCTCTGCCTGCTGGATTCGAAGTTTGACGATACGGATTGCGAAAATAGACGTAAGTGCAATCAGGTCGTGCCGGTTCTGATCGATCCGTGATGAAGGACGATTTTTCTTTG